GTATTGCCAGCTTGCTGCTTTTTTATTGAAACCTAAATCATTTCTCATCCATTGGGAGTGTACACTCTGTATTTCATTTCTTAAATAAGTTTTGGAGTTACCTTTTACAAATTTAGCTAACTTGTCAAAGTTGACGGTCTGTAAAAGCGCCCTGTACATCTGATCCATACACAAGTATTGGTTTTATCAAGGAGTCAAGTAATTATGTTGCTATTTTTATATCAGGGAGGTGATACCCGAGTGATTGGAAAATTTAAATAAAAGTCTTTGATTTATCTGCTAGATTAACCTTTGTGTCCTTAAATGTACCATAATTATTAAATACAATACCTAAATATGTTGCCTGTTTAACAATTACAATGTTTTTACCATTCACCTTGAAATTCTGTTCTTTCAACATCTTCCTGTTCTTGTTACAAATAATCATTTTCGTTTTGTCTATATTAACATTCAACAGCCATTTATTACAGTACACATCAAGTCTATCTAACAATGTTTGCATTCCACTTCTTGAATTTGATACCAATACAATCAATGTCATCTGCATACATTAAACAGTTCACTAACTTTCCATTCAATTCCACGGGATGAGTATCAATAGTTCCCAACTCATGCGGCAGGTCATTTAGTTATAGCTTAAACAGGGTGGGACTTAAAGTACAGCCTTGTTTTACGCCACAATTGGATTCAAAATACTGGGTAATCCCTTCATTTAGCTTTACACTCAGTTTTAGGTTATTATACATGTTAGTAATTATTTCGTAAAACTGGCCTCCGCCGATTCCACATGTCAACATTTTATAAAACGGTCCTTTCATCCAAACACTATCAAAGGCTTTCCGCAGATCGACAAAGCACAAATAGACATGACTATTTTATTGTACTACACATGAGAATGTTACCTCATAAAATATTCTAGGGCTTCGGTGTGACTTTGACATAGCAGTTAAGTCTTTTCCAAGCATTCAGGTAAAAATCTGACACATCATTTCTTCACGCACGTTTTTTTCTTAATTTTATGTTTTGGGGTTGTCCGTCCGTACGTCCCGTTCGCGTCTTATTTTATTTTATTAATGAAAATAGTGTGTGCAATTTTAACTTTCCACTGTAATGCATCATAGATTGAATGCATTTTTAAATCTATTTGAGTCCCTTGAACTCTCTTGCCATTTTAATCATCTTATTGCCAATTTGTTTGTATACTCATCTGTTGAATCATTTCATTAAAAACTATCGTTACCCCTTTCAGGTTTATATCAGTCTTGCCCTTTTTTTTTTTTTTTTTTTTTTTACTTATCTACAAATTGCGCCGCATCTTTTTTTCAATAAAGAATCATGCTGATTTTCGCTGCTAGAAATGTTAAGCCATTAACAATAAGGTGTACACAAGTGTGTGACTTGTTCAAAGATTAGCGTTATATTTCATACTTTTTAGTGTTAAATATTTCATGCTTTTTGGTGTTCGATATTTCACACTTTTAGGTGTTAAATATTTCATACTTTCATACGTTATGTATCAAGTATTTTATTAAAAATATTTTCTGTGTACATGAAGTTTCATTCTACTTCTTGGTTTTCAGTAGGACTGAAATTATGAGAGGATAATAATAAAGTGGAAACTCAAGATTTTAAAAATGTATAGACTTTCCAATCAAGATTAAAGTTGTCTTGATTCTTTTCTTGATTCTTTTCTTGATTCATTTGTCTTGGTGAGCTGAACAACTCAGGTACCCCAAGGGCTACCATGTAATGAGAACTTTGCAAGATATTCCCAAGTAAATTTATAACGATTCCTCTTGTCACACACACATACACTGACACATACAATCAATGTATACATCCCAATTCTGATCATTCATTCCACACATTAATTACATTTCTAGGTGCAGGTATGCCAGATATAAATTTATAATTATGTATGAGATGTGACTTTAATAACGTCACTCTGTATGATCTGTCCATTTATTGTCTTAAATTACCAGAATATAAAATGCAATGGATGGTCAGATAATAACACGGGAATGAGACGGAGAGAAACAGAGGGGGTGGGGGCACGGGGATAAAGAGAGGAGAGATGCATTTGAAATTTGGCGCGCCGTTCATGACCGTGACTCCCTGATGTCGACGTATGTCGTCGAGTGAAATCTAAAAGATTTCTATCTGAAGTCAACAGGGGCAGTGGACGTTCATGCCGTTCTCATCCACTCAATTCTAAAAGTCCCTATTAACGATCAGGAAGAGCGTAAATTGGCGTGGGGTCCAGGGCCTTTGCCCCTACGGGGTTCAAAGGGGCGGACCCCCGGAAGCTCAGGAATTGTAGGCATTCAATTATGGTCAGATAAGCTATTTAGATACCTAATTTTTGACACTGGTAGGTCACTAATTGGCGTGGGGTCCAGGGGGCTGAGCTCCATGAAAATCAGGGGTTTCAGGCATTTCATAATGGTCAGATGAGCATTTAGGGGCCCGTTTTAGGGCCCCTGGTTCGGTTCAGGGGTTTCAGGCATTTAACTATAAATACTGTCAGATGAGCACATTTTGTACATCATTTTGTGACACTAGCAGGTCACTCATTCTTTCTTTCTTTCTTTCTTCTCTCTTTCTTTCTTTTTCTCTTTAACATATTTTTTCAAAAAAAGTGAGGGGCAGCCTCGAGCCCCGAGCCCCGCCGTTCTGCAGGCCCTGACATAAAGGCTTCTGAATAAGCATATTTGTTTGCATGCCTGTAAATTTGGGAGCTTGTAATTTTCCAACAGACGCATACAAAAGTATAATAATAAAAATCCCAAAAAATCATGTATTTTCAGGAACATTGGAAATCTTGGTATCGAATAAGAAATAAACCACGTTTAAATTTTATTCAAGCCCCCCCCCCCCCCCCCATTTCCATAATTTGACAAAACGAATTCGTTTTATAATAATTTTTTTTTTTACAAAGTGTGTATACTGTGCGCTGTTTATTTTAATAATTCTTTAATCTTTAATGTTATTATGAATTTTGTAATTTGTCATTCCCTCCTAAAATGTTTGTATTTCTTCATGTAATCATTACGATATTCTGTGTTGGTTTCCCCTATCATGTTATGTTTTCTTATGCCCTTTTTAAAAATCGTTCTTCTACAACTAATTCTTTCTCTCCCTTCATTTCCCCCTCATTCCTCTTTTCCTCTATAGGCCTACAATGTAATTCTTTATTTTCTGCAATTTAACTTCCCCATCTTAATGTTAAAGGTAATACAAAGTTTTGGTTTGGGGTCGTGAATTTGGTTTAAATGAACATATTGGAAGCATATGCGATCCTACAATATTCACTGATCGTTGTCGCGGTTGAAATCGACTCTAAAGTTTCAAAATTGTAAAGAATCACTATCCACCCATTTTTCAAAATTTCCCAAAACTTTGTAATACCTTTAATTGTGCATTCTACCACCATTTGTTTTATTTGGCCTATAATATACTCTGTTTCTGTATTTCTCTTTTTTTCCTTTTCTCCTATAATTTTCTTCTTTGTTTCCCACAATTCATCTTCTATTTCTATATGTCCATCATTCCTTGTAATTTCCATCCCACTTTATTTTCATATGTCAGTCTTTTAAAAATATTCTTTCTACATTTTATTCTATCCCTTTATTTCCCTTCCCTTTTTTCTATCATGTAATTCTTGATTTTCTCCACTCTTTTCTTACTATCTTTATCTCCACTGTAAAATCTGGCCAATGAATTCTTTCAATTTTTTTTTTTGGTATCTGTTTCCTTTGTATTCCTCTCTTGGTAGCTCTTAATTTTCCACAATTCATCTTCTCACGCTTTCCATTCTTCCTTGTTTCCATCATATTAATGAGCCTATCATATTTCCTTGTAGTATTACACTTTCTCTAAAATCCACCTAGTATTTTGTTTTTCCTAATGTCTTAACTCTTGTCTTCTTATTTTTCTATCATTAAAAACCAAACAATCGCAACGTCCGACTTCTTGTTTAAAGTAAATTTCCTCACGCACCCCAAACACCCACTGACCCGACACAGCATCTATGCATAATGAGTTCTTGCTCCCTCGATGAGACACCTCCACCCAACAACCCCCCTCCCCCCTTTCCTCTCTCTCTCTCTTTCTCTCTCTCTCTCTCTCTCTCTCTCTGTCTCTCTCTCTCTCTCAATTACTCCAACCCCTCCTCTATCACGCTCTTACCCCCTCTCTCTTTTCTCTTTTATCCCCTGTTTCTTTTGTTTCCTTTTTCTTTTTTCGTTTCTCCTTTTCTTTCTTCTCTTCTCTTTCCTCTTTTCTCTTTCCCTTCTTTCCCTTTATTTCCTTACTTTTTCGTTTCTTTTTTCTTTTCATTTCCTTCCCCGCTCATTTTTTTCCATCCCCTCTTCTCATTTTCCCGACGGCAGCGAAATTTTACCGACAATATCCTGACATGTGCGTGTGTCGCACCCCCTCCCTTAAGCGACGCCCCTGCCCCCATCAGTACGCCAGTATTCAGGGAGTCATGTCTTCTCACCCCTATGATAATAAAAAAAAACACACACGCTTTCCTATTCTCTCACAATATTTCCACGATATGCGCGTATCGCTATTATTAAATCCACTATTGATAAATTATTTAGGGGCATGCGAAATGTTTAGGAATTACAATTCCTGTTTACTCTCCTTTTCTTTGAATGGAATATAATTTTGATGTGATTCAATTCATGTTTTATTCTTTATTTTATTTTTGGTTAAGAAATACAAACCATTTTTACTCCATTACTGCTGATTTTTTTTTCTTTTTCGGGGGGATGCGTTTTGCCAATAAGTAAATTCGGCGCCCCTCTTCCAAATGCTACATTATTTCGTGGTCAGATGGTTAAATATCTTCCTCCTTATAAGTTGTCGGTATGTTGACCTCCTTATAAGTTGTCTGTATGTTGACCTCCTTATAAGTTGTCTGTATGTTGACCTCATTTCGTGATCTTGAAGACAATGTTAATGGTGCACCTTCTCGATTCGAGTGTCCTTGTTACTTGGTAAAAACAAATATATCAGAGATAACATACAAGCAGACCGATCGTGATTTTAGATACATGTACTGTAGCAGGCTTCATGTATAGAAAGAACGTTCGATCAGTTCCAAAGTTTGATGAACTTTATAGGTTATCCTTGTGCTATATACCACAGCTTGACAGTTTCATGATCGCAGCATAGTATCTAGCTCTGGCTCTGTCTGTCAATGACCCGACTTGTTTTTCTGAACTTGGATTCCGTCAATTTCCGTATTCCAGTGTGAAACTGAGCGATTATTGTCGTGTTTATAACTGAGAGTGGTGTTGCGTTTATATATGGCAGGGTTTGGATCATTGTTACCTACGCCAAGACGGAAAATGGCGGGAAAACGTATGATTATTGGTGTAATGTGCATCGTGTGTTTGGTGTCAGGGGTGTATATCAAGTTCTTCAATCACGAATCATCAGATCAACTTCTCATAGCTAATCGACAAGGTGTTCAAGGTGATGCTGTCGTTATCGCAGCAGCTAAACCAAACTTTCATCGGTTAGGAACAAACATCAAGAAAGAAGATTCAAACAAATTAGACACTGATGAAGGTGTTCAAAGGGTAGAAGCACAACAACTAGAACAAATAATTGATGAAGGTGAAACTCATCAAGTGGATGATAATGAAGAGGCTGAATTGGATGAAGCAAGGTATGAAGATAATGAAGAGAAGAAAGATGAACGGGGAGACGATTACCAAGAGGAAAAACCTAACGACGTCCAGAAAGATGAAACTAGCCACGATCAGGTCGATCCACAACCATTCGATGCCGATAAACCAATCGAACGTGTAGAAGGAGAAGACGACGAGGAGGAGGATGAGCTCCTGCACGATGCTGGTGGGGATGGGGGCGAACAAAAAGAGAAGGAGGAAGAGGAGGAGGATATTGAGGAGGGGTATGAGAAACAGGATGGGCGTGGTCCACATGGTATCAAACTCTTTGATTGGGATTACTGGGTGAAGGACAATCAGTTTGTGGACCTAGGGAATGTTTGGGGGTATTGTGGTAAGTACATACACTGTTCACCACCACCACCACCACCACCACCACCACCACCATCATCATCACCACCATCATCATCATCATCATGAATAACATTCACTTGCGCATGGGATATGAATAGGAGTCATGCACACACAGAACATTTTGTGTACAATAAAAGCACAAACTTTTCAATTTATTGCTTGATTCATTCACTAAAACCAAAAAAAAAAGAAAAAAAGAAGGGGATGGCGTTCAGTTACAAGACTGGTTTACAAAGGGGCCGTGTTACAATATGAAATATAAATACATTTACCACCAAAAAAAATATGTATAGGCAGTATTGGTTGATACAGAGCATATAGGTTTGTTTTCTACAGCCTAGTACAGTCTATTAAAGCAAGGGGTTTCACTGCAGACTGTGCATAGAAACGTTTGAAATGCTTTCGTAGATATTCCTATTGTATGCTAATATCAGACGTGTGTATCCAATTCCTTAGTGAATGGTATAAACAATTTTGTTGATAGTATACAAGTCATGCACTTGATATACCTACATGTTTAAAGAATATAAGGTCAGTTAAGAAGGTTGTGTGTTTTTAATTTCAGATTTCATAACGTTAATTTGCAAGCTTCCAGGTAATGGTCTTTCCAGCACACATTCAGTGTCATTTGATTCCATATATCCGGTGCTTCAACCTTGTTTAATCCCGTGATCTATGAGATAAGGCCCCTCTTACGACCATGTAGTAGGTCCATGCTCTAGCTCACCCTGTCTTTGTTGTTGTCTTTTGTGGTGTTGGAGCGGAAGGGGGTGTGGGGGGGGGGGGGTAGTCATCAGACACGTGATATAAAGTAAAGAGGTTAAGTTTGCAAAACAATATTGTAATACAGCCTGTTTTTCAGTAATGCTATTTTTACCCGTTCCTCATAGATGTTCGGCGTGCGTTAATCGCTGTGCTAATTGCAATTATAATCAGGCATAATTGCTCATCCCCTGTGCTGTTTTTCTAATATTAAGATATATACATGTAGGCCTACTATTATCATACACATTCCATGTATCTGGAAGCCTGGCATTATAACATAACAAAAAGTTGTTAAAAATGCGATCTGCCAAAATAAATCGTCCGACTTGAAATGGTTCTAGGACAATTACCCCCTGGGCAATCACCCCCAGAAAATTACGCCCCGGAAAACTAAACCCCAAGGCATTACCCCCTGGATAATTAACTCCTGAAGAATTACCCCCAAGGACAACTACCCCCGAGGACAAGTCTCCCCGAGGACAATTACCGCCCCCGAAGACAACAACCCCCGAGGACAATTACCCCCCCCCCCCCGAGGACAATTACCCCAGTTATTATAATATCCTATAAGATATGAATTTACCCAATAATTGATAACTTCGTGAATACTCTTCTTTATTATTAATGCCTATATTCTAAATCGCACTAAAATTTTTTTAAAAACGAATAATTCAACAATCATGTTTGATCTTTGTAACTTTGCCATAACAACGTAAATTGTTAACATCTCCAGTATCATCAACATTCTGTATAGGCAGGCACGTAGCCACGGGGGGGGGGGGGGGGGGGGGGGGGGGACATGCACGTGCCGGCCTCCTAAAATTTCCAAGATCGGTTGAACTTTTTTAGACCCCTTTTTTGACCTCTATCGATTACATGTATGTGCCCCCCCCCCCCAAACATCGAACTCTGGCTACGTACGTGCCTGTGTAGAGGTGTTGTAGTCTGTGGATAAGTCTCCGGACGAATGGTTCAAACCCCTGTTGTATCATAGACGTACGTCTATGGTTGTATACACTAATGTCCCTTCCCAGGACCAAAATCCAGTTAAAACCAATTGGAGCAAAACCAATTGAAACCAGTTGCCAACTGGTTTCAATAGGGAAATTGGAACAACTGGTTCCAATTGAAACCAGTTGCCAACAGGTTCCAATTGAAACCAGTTGAAACCAATTGCCAACTGGTTCCAATTAAAACCAGTTGAAACCAATTGCCAACTGGTTCCAGTTGCCTAATTGGTTTCAACTGGAACCAGTTGTTCCAATTTCCCTATTGAAACCAGTTGGCTTCAACTGGTTTCAATTGGTTTCAACTGGTTTCAATTGGTTTTAATTGGATCCAATTGAAACTTACAGTTGGCATAAACTTAATTAGTTATAAGTTAATTAGCTCTTGCACTAATTATCGCTCATGTCAACACAGAAGCATTGTTATATGTGTCTACATTAAGTACAATGTAAAGGGCATTATAATATGCAGACCATATAATATACTTAACAAGGAAAGCATTGCCATTATATATGTTTGTATTTGATGTATTTTGTACATGGTTAGTGTTTTACTAATCAACTTTTAATCTGTGTAATTACAAAAATATGTTACTAATGAACATGCTTATCATTGCTAATTAATCTTTATATTTATCTAAAACAAATGCATTACTTGCAAATGAAAATTAATTAATAAATACATTGTAAATCAAAATAAATTACATAAAACATTGATCTGCACACAAGCAGATAATATGCAAATTAACTGGTTTCAATTGGATCCAGTTGGGTAACTGGAAATTACTTCTAACTGGAAATGAATGCTAACTGGAACCAGTTGGGTAACTGGAAATTAATTCTAACTGGAACCAGTTGGGTAACTGGAAATGACTTCTAACTGGAAATGAGTGCTAACTGGAACCAGTTGGGTAACTGGAAATGAATTCTAACTGGAACCAGTTGGGTAACTGGAAATAAATTCTAACTGGAACCAGTTGGGTAACTGGAAATGACTTCTAACTGGAACCAGTTTGGTAACTGGAAATGAATTCTAACTGGAACCAGTTGGGTAACTGGAAATGAATTCTAACTGGAACCAGTTGGGTAACTGGAAATGACTTCTAACTGGAAATGAATGCTAACTGGAACCAGTTTGGTAACTGGAAATGACTTCTTACTGGAACCAATTGGGTAACTGGAAATGAATTCTAACTGGAACCAGTTGGGTAACTGGAACTGACTTCTAACTGGAAATGAATGCTAACTGGAACCAGTTGGGTAACTGGAAATGACTTCTAACTGGAACCAATTGAGTAACTGGAAAAATTATCTTACTGGTTCCAGTTGCACTTCTTATTGGTTTGAACTGGAAATGAGTACCCATTACAATATTTTCCAGTTTGGCAATTGGTTTCAACTGGAAATTTTCTATTCCAATTGAAACCAATTGAAACCAATTGAAACCAGTTGAAACCAATTGAAACCAGTTGGAGATTTCAACTGGTTTCAATTGGATTTTGGTCCTGGGTTGGCAAGACATTAATCTACGATTGCCAGAGTCCATGTAGGTGAGGTAAATGGGTATCTGGCAGGAATGAGTTCATCGCTACCAAGCCAGGGTAATAGTAATGGAGCGCTATGAGTGGCAATGTGCCAGACATGAATGAGCGCTATATATACAAAACTCCACTATTATCACTTTCACCCTCTTTTGGCATTACATGGATCCAGCTCTCAAGAACAGGTTTATACTAGTGGGATGACATGTGAAAGAGCGAGGCGATCGAATTGGAAATGTGCGTGTGTGTGTGTGCGTGTGTGGGAGGGGGAGGGGGCTCTTCTCTCCGAGTTCTTTCTTTCACCCTAAGTTCCCATTTAGGTTGCAAGTTGCCTCCGTGGTGTCACCTTCGCAAGGAATTATTTCGTCGATTTTTTTTCCAGAATTATTTAAATCGAGATTTATAATAGTTCTGTTAATCACTCTTTCCCAGTAACTCTTCAGATGACACGATGCCTGATGCATTTTAAACTGAGTGATTTCATCTATCGTTGGTTTTATTTCTTTCACTCCAAGACAAGTGAATTTTGAGAAACAATGCTGGTTTTTCTCTGTTTTCCTACTAACAGATGACGATGATCCACCTGTGATCGGCAAAATCATTCTCCTGGAAGATGAAGAAAGAGGAGGGGTCAAAAGTATCTTTCTCTTCAACACTACATTTGGTAAGATTATCATCTGGAATTTCAAAGTCAACAGAATGCATAATAATTTGTATCGTTGTATTCTTGTTAGATATTTATTTATTATTTCGTTATTGCAACAAAAACTTTAGATTGGATTTAAAAAACATCGTACATTATACGTGAATACTTCAGTGAATTGTTATTATAGGCCTAGAGTACTACATTGTCATTTGATTTAAAGTCCACATAATTTAAGTGTGCACCATGTCCATTCATTATGTCACTGGCACTGGCAAGCATGAAGAGCGAAGGCAGAAGCAATCACATTGTCAATCATAGTTGCTCTTATCACCTATCTTTATCATCTAGGTCAGAGTTAGAACATGGATTAATATCTTGTCATGAATATATTATAGCGCATTATTACGAAAGATAAGTTGCTACTATAATGTACTCATCTTTTAAGATCTTTTGCTTTTGTACTTTGTGCGTCTGACAGATAAAGACGTATTAATGGGTAAGGTTGAGATCAGCATTGACTACAATGGCATGCACTTCTTTACTAAAACTGCGGATCTGGAGGATCTTGAAATAGAAGGAGATTTTTTCAAGGCTCCAATCGTAAAAGGTATTTCCCTCATAATATTATTGTGTCTGTGTGGTATATTTTCATCTATAAATGCTCATTTAACGTACAGTCTTTGAACAACAACATGAACCTAATTTTCAAACTTTATGATATACTGCATTGGAATAAAAAGTGCCAGGCCAAGCACTGACAATGTTCAGTAACTGATTATTTGACCTACTACACGATATGATTACATCACTGTTCTATGTTCTGCTTTGTTGTTTCAGCTGGAACCGAGAAAATACCCCCCCCCCCCCATTTTCTTGTACACATGCATTTGTTCCCCTTGTAAGTCCAGTTACTGCCACTGTTTGAAATAATGTTTATAATTTGAATTGATTGTTAAAATGGCCAAAACCACGTTTGGCATGCACTGATGTTTGGGGCCATGACATGCAGTCCTGACAGGGTAAACTCGATAATTATGCTGATGCTATTTTCCTTCGTAGATTCTGGATGGAACATTCTATCCTTAAAAATAATATGCTGATGATAACAATTAAAACCTATTTCTGTATTCAATTTGCTTCTCTCTCTCTCACAGGCGATCACTATTTTGTACGTGAAAAGCATATATCTAGTTTTATTCCTAAGGTAAGTACTTCCCATCTCCCCTTCGTTAATATTCATTTTCTTTATGATTGAATATATTTAGTTATTTTAAAGAGCTACCTCCCGACACCCGCTAGCTAGCCTCCCTTCTACAGCCCGGACAAGTGCCTCCATCATATTCCAACTAAAATACTATAGGCCTATCACCAAGAACATCTACCCCGTAGAACAGGCAGAACGATTATGCCCCCTTGTTATTATTTCATGCCACTATGTGTTAGGCCTATTCCATAATACATGTATGTTGGTATAATTATTTCATTCTCGGGCAGTAGTATAATACTGTATTCGACAACAAAAATAAAAATAACCATATTTGCCAATTTTAATATCACTCTGTTGTCGCGAGATGGCAACATTCTTTTACCATGGAAACATTGCTCTTTGGCTAAAATGCTATTAATATTCGAATATGTAGAGTGTATTTTTATCTTACGGAACGGACATGGGTTTGTGAAAACGAGCTACCTTCCTCCCTGAAGATAGCTGCAGATCAAGAAACTCTTAAAGCCCCATTATATTTTACTTTGCAAGGTAATAGGATTTTTGTTTAAATCGAAACATTGGCTCATCCAATCTTTGAAAATAATGTATGGTCGTCTGAGTGTCCCAAAATCATGGAAAGCTCATTAAATCTTCAAGGAAAAAGGCGACATTTAGAAAATTGCCCTATATGGTCTGGATCGGATCGGGGAGTTCGTTAGCATGAAATCGAATGACAAGAATATAATTATAAAATAATTCACCACACACAATATTCCAATGAATACTTGTATGACAAAAGTTTCGCAAATTTATTATGCATCTAGTTCCAGCCTTGCAATCATAACAGCGTGTATAGAGGTGAGAGGGTGTATTGCCCCACATATCGGCACATTATTGTAAGCTCTGGCGGCTTATATTATTCCAGTGTTCAACTATACCCATCGACAGGCGCGGATCCAGGATTTCTTAGAGAGGGGAGGAGGGGGGGGGGGGCAAGTTTGAAATCAATTTGAAATTTAATGTGCTTAATTTTGAAAATCGTGCCGGCCGATATTTCGCTCTGTTGGGGAGGGGGGGTGGCATAGTGAGTGCTTTCTTTTTATTACTAAACATACCTCTCTTCCCTTGAGCAAAAAAGAAAAGGTAAATTTCTGGTCACAATTTTTTTAAAAACTTTTTTTTTGCCTACGGGGCCGTCTTTTTTTTTGGGGGGGGGGGTGGGTAAGGCCCACTCGCCCCCTGGATCCGCACCTGTCCATCACATTCGCTTTAATGCCCTAATGCCATATAGATGGCAAAACTGAATATCTCTATTCCCATTAACACTAGGCCTAATTTTCATTAAATATTTTATTTTGTATTTCTGAATGTTTGATTTACAGGGCCATTACTACGGGGAAGCTAAGATGACCGACCAAAATGACAGATCGCTATTATGTGCAACAATGAATCTACACATGAAATGATCGTCGTCTGTCTAAAAACCATTCCAAAATGTGAGAAGGGTTGCGTATAAAAAAAAAGGTGCTAGTCTCCTTTTTTTATGGCGATGTCGAAAATGATGTTGGTGGCGATGTCAGTGGTGATGACAGTGGTGATGTCGTGCAATAATATAGGGGTGAATATAGTTTTAATACCCGATGTCAATATCGATGTCATACTACAATGAACTTTGAATTCATCTTCTTTGTAGGCCCTATATAGTATATCACGGGTGAATTCGGTGAACCAACTCTGATTTTCATTTACTATGTATACCGATGACATATCAGCCTCGCATATATTAAGCCGAGATAGAAACAACTGCTCTCTTGATGTGAAAATTCGGCCCTTTATGGCGTGATTTGGGCCTACATCCGCACTATTCACTCTATATTGTGTGTTATTGATCATGGTGTGAGGGGGAGGGGAGTTCTCGTGCCCCCCCCCCCCCCCTCGATTCGATTCGGCTCTGTTTATGGTAAAATTAATGTTTTTTTATTTTGTATATGTCTCTTGTTAATGTTAATCTATTGCAAATGCTGAATATACATCCATGAAACCAATTCATTGTATGTAGATGTCCAATATAATGTGCACGACAATTAAAGGCCTACATAATCATCTCTTGTCATCGTCTCTTTGATAGCGTGACTATAGTATCCTTTGACCCTTGTACTGGCGATAGATTGTAGACCTTTTTTGTGCTGACACCCAAGTCTTCTGATCTTAATGTAACCATTGTAATCAGTGTATTATCAAGTCACATCACGCTTTCTATGCATGGTAAAACAATCTACCTCGGAATATTTTCTATCCCATTATTTTGTAATCATTGCCGTAATGTTTCGTTGTTGTTTTGTTTCATGCAGTATTACTCTGTTTGGTGCCATCCTAGTAGCCTTTGTTTTCTATTGGTATATGTCATGTAGCTGCAAGGTAGGGCGAATGTAAGGCAAATGCTACGTTTGCTAAGTTGCAGAATCTATATAATTATGTATCTATATTATGCCCCATAGCTTGGAAGCCGTTGTGTTATGAAAAGGTTCTGCATATTAACACTGTATCCAGGTCTTCTATGTCATTAAAGGTACTATGTCCCTTTTGCAGCCAACCTCAAATTATGTAGAACTTTGCAGGAATTATGAATATGTCATGTATGTCCTATCTGTGAAATTTAAACGTTAGCAGTGTCCTCATATTCAAATTATGCAAGGAGACCCGTTTACTTGCTAGACTTCATGCACTGTCAGACACTATTAGGTGACTGACTGGCTTTTTTCTTCTTTGGTAATAACATACATGAAAAGAGTTGTAAAGGGTACATGAGCATTTGTCTACATCAATAACCCACTTCTTGTGATGGCCAAGATTAAACTGATTGAATCTTTGCGCAGCATAAAACGTATGAGCATTCGGTACAATTGTCTGAAAATCAAGACTATTACTTTTGGGCTCTATAGCCCTAAAGTCGATTTGTCAACTAATAGTCGTTATTTTCCCACTTGAAGACATTTTCAAGCCCCACCCTTTTTAGGGAAGTTCTAAATTAGTATTATCTTTCAAATGCAGTTGGGATTTAATTTTTTCATTTTTTTGGCCTGCAAATGGGACATAGTACCTTTAAGATATAATCTTTGCATCGGATTTAAGCCTATATGATATCTGCACTAGTTTGACCAGGAGGAATTAAACCTCCCTGCATGGTCACTGACTGGTGGTTATCTCATCAAATCAGCTCTCAATTAACATTAGAAAAAGGGGATCATGGGGGACCAACGGGTCACCGATTTGGCATTGTTTGCTATACAGAGGGCACAAGTATATAGCTATAGCTATAGTAGCGGCAGTGGTGCTTTGAAGTACAGTCTTAAGAATCAGGCACTTAGTCACGGGGGGAGGGGGGGGGGGGGGTGGCACGTGCCCCCCCCCCCCCCCAAAAAAAAATCCAAGATCGGTTGAACTTTTTTAGACCCCTCCCCAGGACGTCGATCAATTACATGTATGTGCCCCCCCCCCAAAAAAAAAAAAAAAAAAAAAAAAAAAAAAAATCAAAATCTGGCTACGGGACTGCAGGTGCTATGTGATTTATTTAAACTGATACATGTGGAGTCACTGTACCTGAACGTTTTTTGTTTGTTTTGTTGTATACTTGTATCTATTTCTGCTTCTTCAACGTGGATTATTTAGCTAGATGGTACAGAATTCTGTGTTTGCTTTCGTTATCGAAAGATTATCACTGCATGTGGGTAGATATATAGGCCTAATTTCGTTTTGAGTCACAAAAAACAAACAAAAGAGTGTCAAGTAAAAACCGTATATCATGATCCCTTTGATCGGGTTTCTTAAAAATCATTTAGACAATCGGCTTATTAAAGAATAGGCTACAAATTTCAATAAGGCGCATCAAATACGCCGTTACATAATCATTAATGAAGGTTATGTAATGAACTTTTTTCGGTTTAAATTCGATGGGGCAAATATATTCCTTCTTTTAAAAAGATAAAAAAGATTTATTATTCATAATAATGAGGATAGAACCCCCTCCAAAAAAGGCATTTTTGGCCTTTCAAGAAATCACATGTTCGTTGTTTGTTTGTGGGAATTATAGCACTCGGCCTATACCTGAATAATATTGGTTGTTTCACAACAAAGGATAGTCTAAAATACCCTTAAGTTCCAACAAATTAATCTATAGTGTTCAAATAGAGAACAAACTTAGTTCCCAATACTGCAGGTGAAAATGTGTCTTTTCGACCGGGCATAATATTTATAATCTACAACTGTTTTAGTTGTTTGCCGGATAGCATTCAAAGCTACTTGAAAATGTTAATGCATGTTCTTTTGTGTCGAAGATTAATAATTTACGCTGGCCAAATGTACTTTTTCATAATAAATACTATGCAAGATATTTTAAATGATTTGTTGTTCTTAATGATGATGTTAATTCTGTCCGGTGGCGCCTGGGCCAAATTGATTGCAGATTGGAGAGCCTGGTTGACTGATAACTCTCCGAACTTATTTGAAATTCATAATTATTCATTTGTCCACCATGACAGACAAACTAAAAGAGGAGGTGGAGTCGCCCTTTATATTTTACAAACATTATCATATAAAGCTAGGCTAGATGTTCACCTTCTGAATAATAGTGCAGAATTACTTTGTGTCGAAATCGATATGGGAAAAGAAAAAAAATATTATTATATGTGTAATTTACCGACCTCCAAACAATAATAATATAGACCTATTCCTCTCTGACATTGATACTTTATTACATAACCTTAATGACGAAAATAAAGTTATATGTTTAATGGGCGACTACAATATTGACCTTATGAAGGATAATAATAACACCAACCGATTACGTACACTCATGTACTCTAATGCACTTTTCCCAACAATTGATAAACCTACACGGATAGATACCCGCTCATCATCCTTAATAGACAATATATTTATTAATATAGATATCGGATTACTTAGGTCAGGTTTAATATACTCTGAGATCTCAGATCATCTACCACTGTTTCTAATACTTGAAAAAATACTTAAACCTCCAAAAACGAACAAAAAAGTTAAAGTCCGAAGATTTACTGAGCAGAATATATCTCGACTAATCGAAAACTTAGAATCCGAAAATTGGGAAGATGTTTTATCGTGCAATAATACAGATGATGCATATTGCTTATTTTGGACAAAATTTGAATCGTACTTTAATACATGTCTCCCAAAGCTTAATAATAGAGGTAAATATAAACAGCCTATTAACCCATGGGTTACGAAGGGAATTCTCACATCAATAAGGAAAAGAAACAAACTGTATAAACTTAGTTTAAACCACCCTACCCCTTCACATATAAGAAGTTATAGGAAATATAGAAATAAGCTTACCAGTACCATAAGGCTATCCAAAAAATTATATTTTTCAAACAAACTAAAAAATGCTGAAGGTAACATATCATCTACATGGAATGTCATTAAAGAACTGCTTAATAAGAAAAGTCGTACACCTACTCAACAAACCTTTAATATAAATGGTCACAAAGTAGATGAGCCAGATGAAATAGCAAATTTGTTTAATGAATATTTTGTTAACATAGGCCCTGACCAGGCTTCCAAAATCGATAGACATAACTATGACTTTAAGGAATTTCTCCCAGAATCAACTTACCCTTCGCTCTTTTTATATCCGACAGATTTTAATGAAATATTAAGTATTGTTCGCTCATTAAAATCCAGTCATTCTCATAGCTATGATGAAGTTAGCACCCATTTGCTTAAAAAAATTATAGGCAGTATCTTATCACCTCTAGTTCACATTTTCAATCTTTCGATGTCTTCTGGTGTTGTTCCAGCCTCTTTTAAGACGGCTAAAGTCATACCAATCTATAAAAAAAATGACCCCTCTTCTATGTCGAACTATCGACCAATATCCATATTACCAAGTTTCTCTAAAATCCTCGAAAGAATTGTTTACAACAGATTATATAAATTTTTAACTCAAAACGACTCGCTGAACCCAGATCAGTTTGGTTTCAGGAAGTTCCATTCAACTGATTTAGCACTACTCCAACTATTCGATAGAGTATCAAATGCCTTGGCTGATCATAAACATGTCATAGGCATATTCATGGATCTCAGCAAGGCATTTGATACTCTTGATCACACTATATTATTGTATAAATTAAAGCATTACGGTGTACGAGGTAAAGCACTTGATTGGTTCGAAAATTACTTGTCATCAAGAAAACAATATACTTTATTCAATTCAGTTTCTTCTAACGTATCATCTATTAAATGTGGAGTTCCGCAAGGCTCCATACTTGGGCCACTATTATTTTTGATATATGTCAACGATATTTCTAATGTTTCACCAATTCTACAGTATATATTATTTGCCGATGATACAAATGTATTTTATTCACATTCCGATTTAAATTCGATGATCGCAACCATGAACACTGAATTACCTAAGTTATCGAAATGGTTCAAAAGCAACATATTATCATTGAACCTAAAGAAGACCAATTTTATTCACTTTAGAAACTCAAGAAATCACAATATTTATAACTTTGAGCTGCTTGTCGATAATGTTCCAATAGAAAAAAAGTCATCAACGAAATTCTTAGGTGTATATATAAATGAAAAATGTAACTGGAATGATCATGTGAATTATATCTCTACTCCTATTTCTCGCAATATTGGTATACTATTTAAGCTAAAATACTTTTTGCCAACACATGTGCTTAGTATGCTATATAATACACTGGTTTTACCATATATTTCTTACTGCAATATCATATGGGCTACTCATAAGTGCAATACTAATCGTATATTACTGTTACAGAAAAAAGCAATCCGAGTTTGTACCGATGCAGGTTATCGCGACCACACTGACCCTTTATTTGCCACATTAAAAACTCTCAAAATAAGTGATATACACTACATGCAAAAATCTGTGTTCATGTTTCGACTTAAATCCGGCAATCTTCCCCCATCACTAGTCATTTTATTCCAACATAACTTTAATTTTCATTCCTACCCAACCAGGCATTCCAATGACTATCACCTATTTAACGCCAAAACAGCCTTAGCTCAAAACTCAATTAGACATTCTGGCCCTGATACCTGGAATGCACTACCCCCTGAAATAAAAACGATGAATACAATGCTATCCTTTAAAAGAGCGGTGAAAAAGTTTCTTATTGCTCATTATCTTTAAATCGATCAACAAAATAAATTCTCCTCGTTTACCCATCGTTACAAAACTCGATAATTTTCTGTACTGTTTACTTTTTTTTGCTTCCATTTATTGAAACGTTGATTATAACCTTCCATGACCTGGTATGAATACACGTATGAATAAAGAGTGGCCTACTTGGGATACTGAATAAACACTGTCTTCTATACAAACATTTCAAGGCTCTGACTCGCAGGCCCAGCAGCTGGCTGATCTTACTTTCACATTCTTACTGTCCGAACCTTGAGAGTCTTCTCATTCTATTGTATCCCAAGTTGGCCACTCAGTATTCAAATTTGCATTTCTTTTCTTATTTAAAATCTGTATATATCAATTTGAAATCCAACTACCACATAAGTCTGTGAATATTGATATGCATCCCCTCTTTCTTTTCTCTTCTTTTTTCTGTCTTTTCCCCCTTTTTACCAATATTTTGTTCTTCCATATTTGTATTATTATGTATCCTTTGAGGGTAGTCATACTATCAAGCTTTGCTTATTTTGTCAACCCTCCTGTTTGATGTTCTCGATTAGTTACACCCAGCCTTACCTTATTCTACATATATTCTTTTGTCATGTGTAAATTTGCAATATTTGTTTGTTATATATTTGTAAAAATGCAAAAGAAAAAGAAAATCAAACAGAAATAAATAAATCAAATCAAATCAAATCAAATCAAATCATGTAAGAGATTGACATTGTGATGTAAAAGGGACCATTCGGTCATATATTTATTGATGGAAGGTTTGGAAATGACGATGAACGTGAAAGGATTGTTGTTCCGTGAAAATTTTAGACGCAAATTGCAAATAGATACAGTCATGTAAAAGGGGGCAACAGATTTTGACAATGGTGAAAGAATCATTCCAGTGTCGGCATCGGGTTTTCACAATTATTGTGTGTATTATGTGTACGGGGAAGGAGGGGGGGGGGGGGCTATATACTGAGGGCAATGAAATACTGGTTTACAAAAAATATTAGGAGGTGGAATAAAGAAAATGCTTAAGCTGTAGGATCATTCAAAAAATACGGTGGATTTCAGTGAGATGAGTGTGGCCGTGTGATAGATCATAACAAATTACACATTGAAAACCATTGATTTTTTTTTTGGTAATCAGGATTTATTAAATATTTACATCCATGTCAACTTTTGCGCAACAGGAAAAAATCTAACATAGCTCAGAAAATAATGACATCATGATTCTAACTGAGATATACGAGTGCATCATGAAATGCATTATATATAGTAACAAGGCATACATAAAGTATGACACGATAATACAGGAGTATATGCATTTCTTAAACATTCATACATGTGGTCCTATAATCAAGAAAACACAAATGTACAGGTAATACCCCTCTACCCAACGTTACTGGCATATTCAGAAATACTCATTATTAACTGCAAAATCCTCTAAGAACCCAGGACTAAAATCCAATTGAAACCAGTTGAAATCTCCAACTGGTTTCAATTGGTTTCAATTGGAATACAAAATTTCCAGTTGAAACCAATTGCCGACCTGGAAAATATTGTTATGGGTACTCATTTCCAGTTCAAACCAATAAGAATTAAGTGCAACTGGAACCAGTAAAATTATTTTTCCAGTTTCTCAATTGGTTCCAGTTAGAAGTCATTTCCAGTTACCCAACTGGTTCCAGTTAGAATTTCAACTGGAAACAGTAAGATGATTTTCCTGTTACTCAATTGGTTACAGTTAGAATTCTTTTCCAGTTACCCAACTGGTTCCAGTTTGCATTCATTTCCATTAAAGGCCAGATTCTTGATGCCCTCTTGAGCTTCTGGTGGGGGTTGAGGGTCCCTTCCCCCTACAAGTTATAGAAATGTTCTAGACTTGTACTAGACAGAGACAATTATCATTATTATCATTTTGTTCCAGATTCCAGAAAATACATAACAATCAGTAATTCTAAAATATAGCAGTTGCTATTAATAGAGGAATATAATTCTTCACTATACCACAGAAGCATTTTGTAGGTTGAAATACTGTTAAACCCGAGGAATGATTAAAGAATTTCGATAATCTACACTATGATTTGGGATCTGGGACAAAATAATTATATCGCAGGTTGGTATATATTTAATAATTCTTTAAGCTATAATTGACAATAAAGTTAAACCATTTGGAGTTTATGAAAAAGTTGCTTCACTGAGCCTCAATTCACACAAGAACAATGCTACACATGCTGTTACTGTACATCATGTTATGGAAACTTGATGATCTGTCATAGCAAATGGTACAATTTCATTGAATTCTAAATAATGACCTGCCTCATTTAATGGCAACTCTATAGTACACGTGTAGACTACAAGAGAGGACATTTTCTACAATGTAAAAAAAAAGCATTATAAGGCACAATACTGTCGATATAAACCCTTTTATATAAAAAAAAATATATAACTATTAGAAACGTTACATTTCTTGAGAGAAGCAAAATATACTCCTCTGTCATTAGATTATAATCATCATAGTCATAAGGTTCAGATCACACTTGTTCAAAATGAAACTTACAAAATGTATGAAATGGTATAGTACTCATTCTTATTGCTTCACAAAGGCTAGGAGACAAACTGGATCGACATTCAGTGAAAAATTGTAAATTTCACTGTCATGCCATGATTGCCCAATGACATATTAACCACTAATCTATATATCTCTCTATTTTGGAACAAAGTTATTTTGGTCTTTAGTGATAAGCTATATTATGATTCCTGCATATCTCAACTTAACTATTCATAGATCTTGTAATGCACAGGAACACACACATGATACTGTGATATATCCACTATATAAATTATCATTATTGCTATAAAGAAAGCTTCCACATATACATCTAAATGACAATCAAATATTTTTTACAATTTCTTCTAAATTGGTCCAAAAACAATTGGACAAAGGCAAAATAACTAGAATACAAAGAATTTACCTGATCTGAAATATAGCATACCTGCCAACATTTGAAAACCAGAATTAGGAATTTCTAGAACGGTATGCCTTCGAAAAGAGGAAATATGTACAGGCGTTCGCACATGGTTTCTGTACAAAAAAGCGAATACAAATTCGTTGCTCAATCATGCAGTCATTCAAGGCTGCAATATGTGAACTCTCAAATCGTGGCACATGATAAAACAATCTTAATTTGGCTTTAGCAATAACAAAACATATATTAAACAAACAAAAAATGAAATTTTGAAAAATCAGAATATTCCAAATTTCAGGTCCTTAAACTCCTAAAAATCTGAATATTCCGGATCATTCGGAAGGGTTGGCAGGTATCAATATAGAAAGATAATAGTTCAAATAACCGCTGAACTTGCAATCAATTTTGATTAATAATTAATGAGTGTTGGAAGCCTTTCTCCTCTACCAATAAAATTACCATACCGAGCTTCATTCACATACCAACATGTTACCATTTTTTGTTGTACTATAAAGCATTGTTTGAAACCAAAATTTTAAAGTGAAACAAGCATACAATATTTAAACTGTGTTGCTTTAAATTTCATGTTCCTTCACATGTAATCTCATTATAGGTTCATGAATCCTCACTGGAAAAGTTAGCAGTTTTGCCAATTTGAAGAAGATAAACTCTATTACAGCCATTTTGTGCTCTCATTCTTCCTGATGGGTAGATTCCATCACTATCCCGATCCCACCTGCAGCATCCATCACTCTCCTGGGGGGTGTTTCACAAAACTTGTCATCAGTGACAATTGACAGTTTTTGATTGGTTATCAGCAGATTTGTCACTGGTTTTTGTCATTTGTCATTGAAAAAGGTCTTTGTGAAACACCCCCCTGATGTAAAATCTGGAATATTGACCATAAATCACCCTCACATTGCATGTCCATGAGCATGGTCAATATCCTAAAGTCTATAACTAAGGAACATCAAATGACAATTTGACGTTTGTGGCAAACTTTGTGCTTTCCATCAATCCTTAGGTGTTATTTGGAAGTAGAAAAGGGCATATATCAACATCACTGCTGCTAGTAATGATAAAATCACTAGAAAGGTCTCCTGTAAATATGAAAGAAAATGATAGTATTATCAATATTATGACAACTCAGAGTTACATTTGAAATTTCATCATGATTATTCATTCATTCATTCATTCATTCATTTTGGTTTATTGAAACAAAATTCCTTGTTAAGACAGTCGGGAGACTGATACAAACAAAGATTACAAAGTTGAGATGTTCAAAAATGTACAGAAAAACTACAGATACATCAATATGGAAAAGAAACAAAAATTAATTCATGGAGAGAATAGCAATAATTATTTCCTCATGGCAGGGAAGTACTGTAGTAGCCCTTAATGATCTTTTACTGTAGAAATAAACCTAGGTGGGTAGAGATAGCTTGTCGTAGATTTCAGCTCCATATATACAGGTTTATACCGGTGAAGGATAATATATTAGATTTCTATCTTAGGACACATTAAGATACTATATGAACATGTACATGTACATGTTCATTTAGTAACTTCACTGATGAACATGTTCTTTTATATTGTCACTGCACGAACAAAATTTGAATCATCTAAGATACTGTCATTTAGTATGATTGTAAATGTATCCATGGATAAACATCAGGATGGACAGAGAAGATTGTTTTAGCAAGAGTGGAAGTTAACGGCAACATACAGCCCCTTTAAACCTATTATCATCTGATAAAATATTTTCAGTACAAAATTATGTTTCAATAATGCTTCACACACAAAAAAGACAGATTATGTGATTACCGGTAGAACAGTTCAGTATATATTCTGAGACTCAGAGGAGTAACACACCTTATTTTTTTACACAAGTCAATAATATATATATATACAACAGTCTTGAACTTTACAAAAGGTGTAAGACTGAGATCGATCTTTCATTCCACTGGATGACTAGAAATTTACTTTTTCTGTCTTTCCTTTAAAGCCTGTCTGCACTAGTTTGGCCAGGAGGTGTCATATCAAATCGGCTCTCAATTAACATGAGAAAAAGGGGATCGTGGGTGACCAACGGGTACCACTTAGGCATTGTTTGCTATATAGAGGGCGCAAGTAGCTACAAGTAGTGCAGTCGCGCTTTAATACCTGAAATCGAAAGCCTTCTTTCCTGATTTGAGCCTCATTCTTCATTCTGTTGACATCTTTCTTCGTTCTTTTCTGCTCATGTTTCCCGATGTTCTTCCTATACTGATCCACAGATAGGTGGGTTCTTTGAGCTGCATCTTTCTTCCCCATTTGTACTGCATAAATTAGAAAAATTAAGATATACATGTATCTCAATCAAGGAAAATTGATGGATATTATATGTCAATATCAAATTTAAACAGGCAGGTGCAGGTAAACTGCAAACTTTAAAAAACAAATGATGACGGATATATATTATGCTAGATCTACATTACGTTTACAGGCTGTACATGACTCATGAGGAATTTAAAGATAGGCTGGAAAATAAATCAAAATAAAATGTGGTCAACTTTATCATGTAATCACCACACTCCAGAGAGTTTGCAATTGTAGGATGTATGATGTTGTCCGTCTATAGACATACGTGGCAAGGAGTGGAGCTTTACATCAAATTGAGTATCTGGGACAACAGTTAACCACCTCCACCCATGAGATTGTCGTCTGCTGCAGAAACAAAATAATTTTCATCATTCATCATTACATGCACACGTTTAAATGTCATTCATAATGAAAATATCAACATGTAAAATATCATAACACTTGACATACTTCCTATTGAACATCAAAACTCGAAATACAGATGAAAACTCTGTCGATGTCGATGTCGATGCTATGCAGCTTCGCGCAGTCTATGTCGTAGCACGGCCGACTCCGCCTGTGTCAAGTTGGCCAACAATACGCAAGCCCACAACAAGCCAGCCCAATAATCTAGCCAACATTAGCAGGATTAGCTATATCGGATACAGTATTACGCGGGGCTGTAGAAATTGGACTCGCCTGCTTCCACGACTTCGCGAATCGGCCAAGGATTTTCAGGGGTGTCACGATAATTGCTACGGCGACATTTTGTCCGGGGTTTGGGGGTGGGCTCTTTTAAATTTGGACATAATTCAAAACTTATTTAAAGTTATAAATAGTGAATATTTGATGGCATACTTGCCCCAAAACGACAAATTGTTCCTGGGATCCCTTGGTGGAATAGTGGGAGGACACCTAGTCACAGGCGCGGATCCAGGGGGGGGGGGGGCCGAGCGGGCCTTGGCCCCCCCCCCCCCCGGCAAAAAAAAAAAAAAAAAAAGAGAGAAGAAAGGAAAAGAAGGGAAAGGGAAAGAGGAGAGAAAGGGAAAGAAAGAAGAGGAAGAAGAAAAGAAAAGGGAGAAGAAGGAGATCGGGGGGGGGGGCGAAAGGGCCTTGCCTCCCAGGCTGTTGCCCCCCCCCCCCCAATCAAAAAAATAATAGAGAAGGAAGGAAAGGGAAAGAAAAAAGGAAAATAGGAGATACTGGCGTACTGATAGAGGGGGGGGGGGGGCTTGGGGGAAATCAAATTCAAACGTGTTTTATTTCTAATTCCATAATTGTGGATTACAAATAATGCTGAAATGACATAATTTCCGAGATTTTTCCTCACTTTTTAGTAAATTATACTTGTTTATGCGTTTGTTGGAAAATGACAAAATGACAAATGATAAATTTACAGCCAGGCAAGAAATATGATTCTTGACATTCCTACATGTCAGTTAACAAAAAAAGTATATTAAACAGAAATAAAAAAAGAAAGAGAGCAAGAAAGAAAGAATAGTTAACTGCCAGTGTTAACAAATAAAGAGGCATCAAAATATGATCATCTGACCGTGATTAAATGCCTAAAACCCCTAAGCTTCCGGGGGATCTACCCCCTTGATTCCACCTAGGGCTCTAAGGTGGGCCCTTCGATGCTCATCTGACGGTTATTTAATGCCTAAAACCCCTGATTGTGGGGGGGCTCCGCCCCCTGGATCCCACGCCAAATAGTGTCCTGCCAGTGACACAAAATAATAAGGATTATTACAAAATGCTCATCTGACCGTAAATAAACGCCTAAAACCCCTGAGCTTCCGGGGCTCTGCCCCCTGGTTTCCACCTTGGGCCCTAAGACGGGCCCTTCGATGCTCAGTTGACGGTAATTTAATGCCTAAAACCCCTGATTTTGGGGGGCTTTGTCCCCTTGACCCCACGCCTAAGTGTCCTGCCAGTGTGTGACAAAATAATAAGGATTATAAAAAATGCTCATCTGACCGTAATTAAACGCCTAAAAACCCCGAGCTTCCGGGGGCTCCACCGCCTCGACGCCACCAGGGGCCCTAAGGCGGGGCCCTAAGGCGGGCCCCTGAATGCTTGTCTGACCGTAATTTATTGCCTTAAACGTCTGAGCTTCAGGGTCGGACAAGGTATCAAAATGTGTTAATCTGACCGCAGGCGCGTAGCCAGGGGGGCGGTGGGAGCGGTACCCAAACAATCACCGCCCCCCCCCCCCTAAAAAAAGAAGAGGAGAGAAAAGAAAGAGGACGTAGAAAGAAAAAGGAGCAGACAAAGAACATCTTTAAATCTCAGACAAAGATTAGTGTAGATAACGGTACAACGCATCGTCTTCTTTCTCTAATAATTTAATGAAACGTAAAAGGAAGGGGGGAAACTGAACTCAGACGAGGATTAAGCATCGAGAACGGTACAATGAATCGTCTTGTTTCTCTAATGATTTAAAGAAATGTAAAAGCTTCCGCGCTTCGCGCAAGAGGGGGGGGGGGGTGGGACTGAATTTAGAAAAGGATTAAGAGTCGAGAACGGTACAACGAATTGTCTTCTTCCTCTAATGATTTAATGAATCGTAAAAGCTTCAGCGCTACGCGCGGGAGGGGAAAAACTGAATTCAGACGAGGATTATTTTCGAGAACGGTACAACGAATCGTCTTCTTTCTCTAATAATTTAATGAAACGTCAAAGCTTCCGCGCTTCGCGCAGGAGGGGTTGAGGGGTTGGGACTACATTTAGACAAGAATTAAGAGTCGAGAACGGTACAACGAATCGTCTTCTTTCACTAATGATTTAATGAATCGTAAAAGCTTTCGCGCTTCGCGTGGGAGGGGCCGGGGGGGGGGGCGAAAATGAATTCAGACTAGGATTATTTTCGAGAACGGTACAACGAATTGTCTTTTTTCTCTAATGATTTAATGAAATGTAAAAGCTTCCGCGCTTCGCGCGGGAGGGGGTAACCTGTATTCAGACGAGGATTAAGAGTCGAGAACTGTACAACGAATCGTCTTCTTTCTCTAATGATTTAAGGAATCGTAAAAGCTTCCGCGCTTCGCGCAGGAGGGCCCGGGGGGGGGGGGGGGCGGTGAAAATGAATTCAGATGAGGATTATTTTCGAGAACGGTACAACGAATAGTCTTCTTTCTCTTATGATTTAATGAATCGTAAAAGCTTCCGCGCTTTGCGCGGGAGGGGGACAACTGAATTCAGACGAGGATTAAGAGTCGAGAAATGTACAACGAATCGTCTTGTTTCTCTAATGATTTAATGAATCGTAAAAGCTTCCGCGCTTCGCGCGGGAGGGGGAAAACTGAATTCAGACGAGGATTAAGAGTCGAGAAATGTACAACGAATCGTCTTGTTTCTCTAATGATTTAATGAAACGTAAAAGCTTCCGCGCTTTGCGTGGGAGGGGGTAACCTGTATTCAGACGAGGATTAAGAGTCGAGAACTGTACAACGAATCGTCTTCTTTCTCTAATGATTTAATGAATCGTAAAAGCTTCCGCGCTTCGCGCAGGAGGGCCAGGGGGGGGGGGGGGAGGGCGGTGAAAATGAATTCAGATGAGGATTATTTTCGAGAACGGTACAACGAATAGTCTTCCTTCTCTAATGATTTAATGAATCGTAAAAGCTTCCGCGCTTCGCGCGGGAGGGGGAAAATAGAATTCAGACGAGGATTAAGAGTCGAGAAATGTACAACGAATCGTCTTGTTTCTCTAATGATTTAATGAAACGTAAAAGCTTCCGCACTTCGCGCGGGAGAGGGGAACCTGTATTCAGACGAGGATTAAGAGTCGAGAACTGTACAACGAATCGTCTTGTTTCTCTAATTATTTAATGAAACGTAAAAGTTTCCGCGCTTCGCGCGGGAGGGGTGAACCTGAATTCAGACGAGGATTATTTACGAGAACGGTACTATGAATCGTCTTCTTTCTCTAATAATTTAATGAAACGTCAAAGCTTTCGCGTTTCGAGGAGGAGGGAGGGGGGAAACTCGCCCCTCCCTGCACCCACCCCCCCCCGCATTACGTCACTGCTGGTCACCATTACGTTCCAATTTTTGGCTCGCATAATTTCAAATTTGGGCCCCCCCCCCCTAAGAAATCCTGGATCCGCGCCTGCCTAGTCATTCATCCCATGATAGTAAAAGTGGGACCAGTCGTCAAGTTTTACTAGCCCCACTCTTTTAAATTTGGACATAATTCAAAACGGGAGGTATAAATAGTGAATATTTGATGGCGTACTTGCCCGAAAACGACAGATTGTTCCTAGGAATCCCTAAGTGGATTTGTTGGAGGACACCTAGTCATTCATCCCATGATAGTAAAAGTGGGACCAGTGGTCAAGTTTTACTAGCCCCTCTCTTTTAAATTTGGACATAATTCAAAACGGGAGGTATAAATAGTGAATATTTGATGGCGTACTTGCCCAAAAACGACAGATTGTTCCTAGGAATCCCTAAGTGGATTTGTGGGAGGACACCTAGTCTTTCATCCCATGACAGTAAAAGTGGGACCAGTGGTCAAGTTTTAATAGCCCCACTCTTTTAAATTTGGACATAATTCAAAACGGGAGGTATAAATAGTGAATATTTGATGGCGTACTTGCCCGAAAACGACAGATTGCTCCTGGGAATCCCTTAGTGGAATTGTGGGAGGACACCTAGTCTTTCATCCCATGATAGTAAAAGTGGGACCAGTGGTCAAGTTTTACTAGCCCCACTCTTTTAAATTTGGACGTAATTCAAAACGGGAGGTATAAATAGTGAATATTTGATGACGTACTTGCCCGAGAACGACAGATTGCTCCTGGGAATCCCTTAGTGGATTTGTGGGAGGACACCTAGTCTTTCATCCCATGAGAGTAAAAGTGGGACCAGTGGTCAAGTTTTACTAGCCCCACTCTTTTAAATTTGGACATAATTCAAAACGGGAGGTATAAATAGGGAATATTTGATGGCGTACTTGCCCGAAAACGACAGATTGCTCCTGGGAATCCCTTAGTGGAATTGTGGGAGGACACCTAGTCTTTCATCCCATGATAGTAAAAGTGGGACCAGTGGTCAAGTTTTACTAGCCCCACTCTTTTAAATTTGGACGTAATTCAAAACGGGAGGTATAAATAGTGAATATTTGATGACGTACTTGCCCGAGAACGACAGATTGCTCCTGGGAATCCCTTAGTGGATTTGTGGGAGGACACCTAGTCTTTCATCCCATGAGAGTAAAAGTGGGACCAGTGGTCAAGTTTTACTAGCCCCACTCTTTTAAATTTGGACATAATTCAAAACGGGAGGTATAAATAGGGAATATTTGATGGCGTACTTGCCCGAAAACGACAGATTGCTCCTGGGAATCCCTTAGTGGAATTGTGGGAGGACACCTAGTCTTTCATCCCATGATAGTAAAAGTGGGACCAGTGGTCAAGTTTTACTAGCCCCACTCTTTTAAATTTGGACGTAATTCAAAACGGGAGGTATAAATAGTGAATATTTGATGACGTACTTGCCCGAGAACGACAGATTGCTCCTGGGAATCCCTTAGTGGATTTGTGGGAGGACACCTAGTCTTTCATCCCATGAC